GGAATAGTGTGTTTTCGATGCATGTGTGATGAATGTTGTTGCGTATGTGTTGGCGATGTTGATATAGACTGTAGTAGTATGTGGACATATTGTGTATGTGTATGTTAGTAGTTGTGAATCGATGGTGTGTGTTGTTGTGTTGTAGAACAAGTTGTCCCGCGTGGTCTAGCGGTTAGGATTCCTGGCTCTCACCCAGGCGGCCCGGGTTCGACTCCCGGCGCGGGAGAGTTTTCACATCTAACAACACTCATCTCTATCTGCATTAACACCAACAAGCATTTCCCGACCACTCACACTACTAGCATCGGTCACGTGCTCACATAGACAGTCAAGCACAAACTGTCGGATGACATATTTATTAGTCGTTCCTCTTGCGGTATTTCGAGAATACTCTATTCACACTACGATTCACACACGCACACGCACGCACACACACACACACATACTCGCCTCAGCACGTCTCAACGAACAAACAAACAAACAAACAAACAAACAACCTGTCATGGGAATTCACACAGAAACTTCGAACAATTCAATTCTCCTCGATTTGTGAAAGTGGAGAAGGTGAGGTAAGACACAGTGAGCCGTTGCAAAACATATGGACAAATCTGACTCATCAATCAATCCGGAGTCTCGCTATCAACCATTCGGAACGTCCGATCCTTACAATCCACACAGATCGGATGAGTGCGGTCATATCAGTCATACGTACATTCATTCATGCATCCATTCAGTCAAACGCACTCCAACCTTGTGTTGAACACAGTTGCTGAGCACTCGTTAACTTTGTCCAATCATACAGTACTGAATGTTGCCAACAATATTATTTATTATTCACACGATCATTATTGTTGTGATGATGATCACCGTGACGTGCATATCTGGCCGACTACTGATATGTGAACTCTGTCTCAATATTGCTTGAAGAGTTGTGCGAAAGCAGACAGTGTTGATTGTTTTGTGCAAGTGGGGTGGGATGAGATGGTGACATACTTCGTCTTCTCATTCCAATGTGTGAATGGATCAGGTGAACTGACTGCTGGAAGTATGTGTTGAGAAATATATATTGGTTGTTTGATCAGTGTGGTTGGATGCCGTGTTGGTGTTGTAGGACGTGTATTGTTGACGATTGTTCTATGAACTGGTGTGCTTGTTGTTGGTGTTTGTCTGTTTGTCAGAATTTTGATGTTGATATTGGATTTTGCGTGTAGTGTGTGCGTATGCTGGATGAAGATCTGCTTTTGAGTGTGAATGGATGTGATTGTGCGCACCTACGTCGCCGGAATAGCTCAGTTGGGAGAGCGTTAGACTGAAGATCTAAATGTCCCCGGTTCGATCCCGGGTTCCGGCAGGCGACTGGCTCTCAGTTTTCGCCCACACGTTCTACCACAATGAAACATCATTTACATCACTGTAATCACGTGCCACCACTAAGCGTTCCTCCTCACAATCCAATCTCGTGTTTTCACTTGGACTCCGTTTAGCATTCCACATTCCCCTCCATCACACCTTCACTCACATTCAGTCATTCACTCTCCTTCCACTTAGTTCTCTCTGTGTCGTAGTCTGTCTTAGTGGTCAGCACATTCAGCTGGTGGCAGACTGGAAATCATGATGTCTAACGAACCAGGTGGATTGTTGCATATACACAATGAATTTGATGCGAGACTATTGTGATTGAATGTGTGGATTCATATTGACATTCGCATAAACACACCACATACACTTGTGCACATATGCCCACACACACACACCCACTCACTCACTCACTCACACGATCGAACGAACAAACATGTGCGGCCTTGTAGTCTGTGGAAGTAGGTGGAGAGGAATATGTAGAGGAGTGATGTTGTTCCCAACACCCACATTTTCCCAACAATTTATCAGTCGGTAGACCAGTAACTGTGAGTTCTCTGTCCAGATAGTGTGAGGTGTTGTGTATGATAAGGCGACGGAAACACATTTGTGTGTGTGTGTGTGTGTGGATGACGACGATGTTGCTGCTGCTGTTGTTGTACTTATTGTTCTTTGTGATGATGTTGATGATGACAATATGGTTGTTGGGCAAGTTGTTACTTGAAGTGGTGATGAGTATGCTGGAATAGTGTGTTTTCGATGCATGTGTGATGAATGTTGTTGCGTATGTGTTGGCGATGTTGATATAGACTGTAGTAGTATGTGGACATATTGTGTATGTGTATGTTAGTAGTTGTGAATCGATGGTGTGTGTTGTTGTGTTGTAGAACAAGTTGTCCCGCGTGGTCTAGCGGTTAGGATTCCTGGCTCTCACCCAGGCGGCCCGGGTTCGACTCCCGGCGCGGGAGAGTTTTCACATCTAACAACACTCATCTCTATCTGCATTAACACCAACAAGCATTTCCCGACCACTCACACTACTAGCATCGGTCACGTGCTCACATAGACAGTCAAGCACAAACTGTCGGATGACATATTTATTAGTCGTTCCTCTTGCGGTATTTCGAGAATACTCTATTCACACTACGATTCACACACGCACACGCACGCACACACACACACACATACTCGCCTCAGCACGTCTCAACGAACAAACAAACAAACAAACAAACAAACAACCTGTCATGGGAATTCACACCGAAACTTCGAACAATTCAATTCTCCTCGATTTGTGAAAGTGAAGAAGGTGAGGTAAGACACAGTGAGCCGTTGCAAAACATATGGACAAATCTGACTCATCAATCAATCCGGAGTCTCGCTATCAACCATTCGGAACGTCCGATCCTTACAATCCACACAGATCGGATGAGTGCGGTCATATCAGTCATACGTACATTCATTCATGCATCCATTCAGTCAAACGCACTCCAACCTTGTGTTGAACACAGTTGCTGAGCACTCGTTAACTTTGTCCAATCATACAGTACTGAATGTTGCCAACAATATTATTTATTATTCACACGATCATTATTGTTGTGATGATGATCACCGTGACGTGCATATCTGGCCGACTACTGATATGTGAACTCTGTCTCAATATCGCTTGAAGAGTTGTGCGAAAGCAGACAGTGTTGATTGTTTTGTGCAAGTGGGGTGGGATGAGATGGTCACATACTTCGTCTTCTCATTCCAATGTGTGAATGGATCAGGTGAACTGACTGCTGGAAGTATGTGTTGAGAAATATATATTGGTTGTTTGATCAGTGTGGTTGGATGCCGTGTTGGTGTTGTAGGACGTGTATTGTTGACGATTGTTCTATGAACTGGTGTGCTTGTTGTTGGTGTTTGTCTGTTTGTCAGAATTTTGATGTTGATATTGGATTTTGCGTGTAGTGTGTGCGTATGCTGGATGAAGATCTGCTTTTGAGTGTGAATGGATGTGATTGTGCGCACCTACGTCGCCGGAATAGCTCAGTTGGGAGAGCGTTAGACTGAAGATCTAAATGTCCCCGGTTCGATCCCGGGTTCCGGCAGGCGACTGGCTCTCAGTTTTCGCCCACACGTTCTACCACAATGAAACATCATTTACATCACTGTAATCACGTGCCACCACTAAGCGTTCCTCCTCACAATCCAATCTCGTGTTTTCACTTGGACTCCGTTTAGCATTCCACATTCCCCTCCATCACACCTTCACTCACATTCAGTCATTCACTCTCCTTCCACTTAGTTCTCTCTGTGTCGTAGTCTGTCTTAGTGGTCAGCACATTCAGCTGGTGGCAGACTGGAAATCATGATGTCTAACGAACCAGGTGGATTGTTGCATATACACAATGAATTTGATGCGAGACTATTGTGATTGAATGTGTGGATTCATATTGACATTCGCATAAACACACCACATACACTTGTGCACATATGCCCACACACACACCCACTCACTCACTCACACGATCGAACGAACAAACATGTGCGGCCTTGTAGTCTGTGGAAGTAGGTGGAGAGGAATATGTAGAGGAGTGATGTTGTTCCCAACACCCACATTTTCCCAACAATTTATCAGTCGGTAGACCAGTAACTGTGAGTTCTCTGTCCAGATAGTGTGAGGTGTTGTGTATGATAAGGCGACGGAAACACATTTGTGTGTGTGTGTGTGTGTGTGGATGACGACGATGTTGCTGCTGCTGTTGTTGTACTTATTGTTCTTTGTGATGATGTTGATGATGACAATATGGTTGTTGGGCAAGTTGTTACTTGAAGTGGTGATGAGTATGCTGGAATAGTGTGTTTTCGATGCATGTGTGATGAATGTTGTTGCGTATGTGTTGGCGATGTTGATATAGACTGTAGTAGTATGTGGACATATTGTGTATGTGTATGTTAGTAGTTGTGAATCGATGGTGTGTGTTGTTGTGTTGTAGAACAAGTTGTCCCGCGTGGTCTAGCGGTTAGGATTCCTGGCTCTCACCCAGGCGGCCCGGGTTCGACTCCCGGCGCGGGAGAGTTTTCACATCTAACAACACTCATCTCTATCTGCATTAACACCAACAAGCATTTCCCGACCACTCACACTACTAGCATCGGTCACGTGCTCACATAGACAGTCAAGCACAAACTGTCGGATGACATATTTATTAGTCGTTCCTCTTGCGGTATTTCGAGAATACTCTATTCACACTACGATTCACACACGCACACGCACGCACACACACACACACATACTCGCCTCAGCACGTCTCAACGAACAAACAAACAAACAAACAAACAAACAACCTGTCATGGGAATTCACACAGAAACTTCGAACAATTCAATTCTCCTCGATTTGTGAAAGTGGAGAAGGTGAGGTAAGACACAGTGAGCCGTTGCAAAACATATGGACAAATCTGACTCATCAATCAATCCGGAGTCTCGCTATCAACCATTCGGAACGTCCGATCCTTACAATCCACACAGATCGGATGAGTGCGGTCATATCAGTCATACGTACATTCATTCATGCATCCATTCAGTCAAACGCACTCCAACCTTGTGTTGAACACAGTTGCTGAGCACTCGTTAACTTTGTCCAATCATACATTATTACCTTTTTTTTAAACATTGTGATTTTTTTTTTCGTGTTTTTCCTGGGATATATATATATATTTTCCCTCGTTCGTTATCGTACTTCATATTTTCATCATGGCTGAACAGACACCCAAAGTACTCAACCTTAAGACTTTGTCCCCGCCTTCGTTTCAACTCATGCCTTTCTGGCCCGACAATATCGAAGCCTGGTTCTGCTACGCAGAAGCTGATTTCTCCGAGCACGGCGTGATCGACACACGTGCACAATTCCTCGCAGTAGTCAAGGCACTACCGCGCGAATTCAACAGGTACGTAACACCTAGTATGTTTACTAGTGATGTTTCTGAACCTTACGAAACCCTAAAACGTTCGATTCTTAAACGAGGAGACCTAACCGATCGACAAAGGTTAGATCAACTCTTCAATAACATCGACCTGCAACACGGTTCTGCGACTGACATGTTGCAAAGAATGAGAGAAGTGATAGGCCTAAGGACTTTCGACGAAGGTCTATTTAAACAACTTTTCTTGTCTAAACTTCCTCAACAGGTGCAAGCGGTTCTGGTCTCATTTCAGAACAACGCCTTAGACGAGCTAGCTGCATCTGCCGATCGTATTTTAGAAATAACGAAATCGTCTACTTCAGAGGTATTTTCCGTCAAAGAAAAGCCTCACGCGACTCAGAATGACATAACCGAGTTATGTCATACACTCACGCGTTATCTTAATCTTCGTAACGACCGTAGTCGCTCACGCAGTCCACGTAGAAGCATTTCGCGTAAACGATCTGTCTCTAGACCACGAGAGACGGATAACCCTGACTGGTGCTGGTATCATAACCAGTATGGGAAATCTTCCAGAAATTGCAGAAAACCCTGCAATTTTCTCAACACGAAAACGACTGACTCGAAAAACAATTCGGGAAACTTCTAAGCCGGCACGCGTTAACGGCAACCGTAGCCGGCGAACATAGCCGTCTGTTGTACGTCACAGATGTGACAACGAGAGTTCGCTACCTCGTCGACACTGGCGCAGAAGTTAGCGTTCTCCCAGCAAATCATAACGACCAGACGCTGCTAAATTTAGTAAGCTATCAGAAGAGTGTTTACCAACGACAAACTCGTTGGGTTTAAACTTCTGGCTGGCCACGTCTTAGGGTCATCACTGCCCCACTAGGGGGGGAGTGATCTGTAGCGGTAAATAAATCCCCAAACTAAATAGCTCAATAGGTTTTCGACATTGGATGCTGACCATATGTTTTAGTGGACTCATCTAGCTGAAGGCGCTCGGTCATGCATCCGCACCAGATCACGTGCTGTCACGCTGTGCTCGACAACAATCGCAATCACTAGCCAGATTAGATCAGAGATTCCCGATATATTGGTTATCGCCAAATACACTCTTCCGATCTCCTCGACTCTGTCTTTTGATTTCTCTCGGTGGGAACAAAGCATATTAGAAGGTGTTATTGGTAGAAGCGTTGTCAAACACTGAATACCTGTATCATCCTTCAATACAGTACTGAATGTTGCCAACAATATTATTTATTATTCACACGATCATTATTGTTGTGATGATGATCACCGTGACGTGCATATCTGGCCGACTACTGATATGTGAACTCTGTCTCAATATTGCTTGAAGAGTTGTGCGAAAGCAGACAGTGTTGATTGTTTTGTGCAAGTGGGGTGGGATGAGATGGTGACATACTTCGTCTTCTCATTCCAATGTGTGAATGGATCAGGTGAACTGACTGCTGGAAGTATGTGTTGAGAAATATATATTGGTTGTTTGATCAGTGTGGTTGGATGCCGTGTTGGTGTTGTAGGACGTGTATTGTTGACGATTGTTCTATGAACTGGTGTGCTTGTTGTTGGTGTTTGTCTGTTTGTCAGAATTTTGATGTTGATATTGGATTTTGCGTGTAGTGTGTGCGTATGCTGGATGAAGATCTGCTTTTGAGTGTGAATGGATGTGATTGTGCGCACCTACGTCGCCGGAATAGCTCAGTTGGGAGAGCGTTAGACTGAAGATCTAAATGTCCCCGGTTCGATCCCGGGTTCCGGCAGGCGACTGGCTCTCAGTTTTCGCCCACACGTTCTACCACAATGAAACATCATTTACATCACTGTAATCACGTGCCACCACTAAGCGTTCCTCCTCACAATCCAATCTCGTGTTTTCACTTGGACTCCGTTTAGCATTCCACATTCCCCTCCATCACACCTTCACTCACATTCAGTCATTCACTCTCCTTCCACTTAGTTCTCTCTGTGTCGTAGTCTGTCTTAGTGGTCAGCACATTCAGCTGGTGGCAGACTGGAAATCATGATGTCTAACGAACCAGGTGGATTGTTGCATATACACAATGAATTTGATGCGAGACTATTGTGATTGAATGTGTGGATTCATATTGACATTCGCATAAACACACCACATACACTTGTGCACATATGCCCACACACACCCACTCACTCACTCACTCACACGATCGAACGAACAAACATGTGCGGCCTTGTATTCTGTGGAAGTAGGTGGAGAGGAATATGTAGAGGAGTGATGTTGTTCCCAACACCCACATTTTCCCAACAATTTATCAGTCGGTAGACCAGTAACTGTGAGTTCTCTGTCCAGATAGTGTGAGGTGTTGTGTATGATAAGGCGACGGAAACACATTTGTGTGTGTGTGTGTGTGTGTGGATGACGACGATGTTGCTGCTGCTGTTGTTGTACTTATTGTTCTTTGTGATGATGTTGATGATGACAATATGGTTGTTGGGCAAGTTGTTACTTGAAGTGGTGATGAGTATGCTGGAATAGTGTGTTTTCGATGCATGTGTGATGAATGTTGTTGCGTATGTGTTGGCGATGTTGATATAGACTGTAGTAGTATGTGGACATATTGTGTATGTGCATGTTAGTAGTTGTGAATCGATGGTGTGTGTTGTTGTGTTGTAGAACAGGTTGTCCCGCGTGGTCTAGCGGTTAGGATTCCTGGCTCTCACCCAGGCGGCCCGGGTTCGACTCCCGGCGCGGGAGAGTTTTCACATCTAACAACACTCATCTCTATCTGCATTAACACCAACAAGCATTTCCCGACCACTCACACTACTAGCATCGGTCACGTGCTCACATAGACAGTCAAGCACAAACTGTCGGATGACATATTTATTAGTCGTTCCTCTTGCGGTATTTCGAGAATACTCTATTCACACTACGATTCACACACGCACACGCACGCACACACACACACACACATACTCGCCTCAGCACGTCTCAACGAACAAACAAACAAACAAACAAACAAACAACCTGTCATGGGAATTCACACCGAAACTTCGAACAATTCAATTCTCCTCGATTTGTGAAAGTGGAGAAGGTGAGGTAAGACACAGTGAGCCGTTGCAAAACATATGGACAAATCTGAATCATCAATCAATCCGGAGTCTCGCTATCAACCATTCGGAACGTCCGATCCTTACAATCCACACAGATCGGATGAGTGCGGTCATATCAGTCATACGTACATTCATTCATGCATCCATTCAGTCAAACGCACTCCAACCTTGTGTTGAACACAGTTGCTGAGCACTCGTTAACTTTGTCCAATCATACAGTACTGAATGTTGCCAACAATATTATTTATTATTCACACGATCATTATTGTTGTGATGATGATCACCGTGACGCGCATATCTGGCCGACTACTGATATGTGAACTCTGTCTCAATATTGCTTGAAGAGTTGTGCGAAAGCAGACAGTGTTGATTGTTTTGTGCAAGTGGGGTGGGATGAGATGGTGACATACTTCGTCTTCTCATTCCAATGTGTGAATGGATCAGGTGAACTGACTGCTGGAAGTATGTGTTGAGAAATATATATTGGTTGTTTGATCAGTGTGGTTGGATGCCGTGTTGGTGTTGTAGGACGTGTATTGTTGACGATTGTTCTATGAACTGGTGTGCTTGTTGTTGGTGTTTGTCTGTTTGTCAGAATTTTGATGTTGATATTGGATTTTGCGTGTAGTGTGTGCGTATGCTGGATGAAGATCTGCTTTTGAGTGTGAATGGATGTGATTGTGCGCACCTACGTCGCCGGAATAGCTCAGTTGGGAGAGCGTTAGACTGAAGATCTAGATGTCCCCGGTTCGATCCCGGGTTCCGGCAGGCGACTGGCTCTCAGTTTTCGCCCACACGTTCTACCACAATGAAACATCATTTACATCACTGTAATCACGTGCCACCACTAAGCGTTCCTCCTCACAATCCAATCTCGTGTTTTCACTTGGACTCCGTTTAGCATTCCACATTCCCCTCCATCACACCTTCACTCACATTCAGTCATTCACTCTCCTTCCACTTAGTTCTCTCTGTGTCGTAGTCTGTCTTAGTGGTCAGCACATTCAGCTGGTGGCAGACTGGAAATCATGATGTCTAACGAACCAGGTGGATTGTTGCATATACACAATGAATTTGATGCGAGACTATTGTGATTGAATGTGTGGATTCATATTGACATTCGCATAAACACACCACATACACTTGTGCACATATGCCCACACACACCCACTCACTCACTCACTCACACGATCGAACGAACAAACATGTGCGGCCTTGTATTCTGTGGAAGTAGGTGGAGAGGAATATGTAGAGGAGTGATGTTGTTCCCAACACCCACATTTTCCCAACAATTTATCAGTCGGTAGACCAGTAACTGTGAGTTCTCTGTCCAGATAGTGTGAGGTGTTGTGTATGATAAGGCGACGGAAACACATTTGTGTGTGTGTGTGTGTGTGTGGATGACGACGATGTTGCTGCTGCTGTTGTTGTACTTATTGTTCTTTGTGATGATGTTGATGATGACAATATGGTTGTTGGGCAAGTTGTTACTTGAAGTGGTGATGAGTATGCTGGAATAGTGTGTTTTCGATGCATGTGTGATGAATGTTGTTGCGTATGTGTTGGCGATGTTGATATAGACTGTAGTAGTATGTGGACATATTGTGTATGTGCATGTTAGTAGTTGTGAATCGATGGTGTGTGTTGTTGTGTTGTAGAACAAGTTGTCCCGCGTGGTCTAGCGGTTAGGATTCCTGGCTCTCACCCAGGCGGCCCGGGTTCGACTCCCGGCGCGGGAGAGTTTTCACATCTAACAACACTCATCTCTATCTGCATTAACACCAACAAGCATTTCCCGACCACTCACACTACTAGCATCGGTCACGTGCTCACATAGACAGTCAAGCACAAACTGTCGGATGACATATTTATTAGTCGTTCCTCTTGCGGTATTTCGAGAATACTCTATTCACACTACGATTCACACACGCACACGCACGCACACACACACACACACATACTCGCCTCAGCACGTCTCAACGAACAAACAAACAAACAAACAAACAAACAACCTGTCATGGGAATTCACACCGAAACTTCGAACAATTCAATTCTCCTCGATTTGTGAAAGTGGAGAAGGTGAGGTAAGACACAGTGAGCCGTTGCAAAACATATGGACAAATCTGAATCATCAATCAATCCGGAGTCTCGCTATCAACCATTCGGAACGTCCGATCCTTACAATCCACACAGATCGGATGAGTGCGGTCATATCAGTCATACGTACATTCATTCATGCATCCATTCAGTCAAACGCACTCCAACCTTGTGTTGAACACAGTTGCTGAGCACTCGTTAACTTTGTCCAATCATACAGTACTGAATGTTGCCAACAATATTATTTATTATTCACACGATCATTATTGTTGTGATGATGATCACCGTGACGCGCATATCTGGCCGACTACTGATATGTGAACTCTGTCTCAATATTGCTTGAAGAGTTGTGCGAAAACAGACAGTGTTGATTGTTTTGTGCAAGTGGGGTGGGATGAGATGGTGACATACTTCGTCTTCTCATTCCAATGTGTGAATGGATCAGGTGAACTGACTGCTGGAAGTATGTGTTGAGAAATATATATTGGTTGTTTGATCAGTGTGGTTGGATGCCGTGTTGGTGTTGTAGGACGTGTATTGTTGACGATTGTTCTATGAACTGGTGTGCTTGTTGT